ACCGACTCCCGTACGAATAACAATCGCGAATAATTCGTACGGGAGTGAAAAATTAATGTTGGTAAATATTTGCTGAACCGACTCCCGTACGAATAGCAATGGCGAATAATTCGTACGGGAGTGAAAAATGGTGGTAAATATTCGCTGAACCGACTCCCGTACGAATAACAATCGCGAATAATTCGTACGGGAGTGAAATATGTTGGTAATGATATTTGCTGAACCGACTCCCGTACGAATTACAATCGCGAATAAAATTCGTACGGGAGTGAAAAATTATTTTTCGTTTATTTTTTCAATAGCCGTGTTACCGTTGCTATAGTACTCATACAAAATTTTTACTTTAATTGCCTCTTGGACAAAAATTATAAATGAATATTTCAATTACAAACGAGAAAGAGTGGATAAAAAGCAGAAAAATAAGGCCAAAAAAATATGCGTCCCCGGGTGGGCTTGAACCACCAACCTTTCGGTTAACAGCCGAACGCGCTAACCGATTGCGCCACGGAGACRACGTTGATWTATAAATTTGAAAATAGGTTAATAAAGCATATTTCGATCTCCCAAATCTTTAGAACCTTTTTGGATCAAATTTAGATAGAAGACAAGAATTCATCTCCATTTCCATATCATCGTTTAAGGATAATTTTATATAAGCGTCAATATTCAATGAATTAAAGAGTTTTTTGTGAAAAAGTTATCGCCCGTTTTTTAGTTTGTACCAGTCCTCACATGGGCTCAGCCACAGGGAATCCAATTTAAAAAGGCATAAGACGAAAATAAACAGCAAAATATATTCTTTATTAGATTTCTTGTATTTGAAATCACGATAGTGTGCTAGAGTGTCCTCAGTATAATACCGGGAAATWGAAAATCAATCAAAGGTACAATAGAATATTTTTATATAGTCGACCACTGTAGTATTGGGCTTCCTATGCTTACCTTCTGAATTCAAGATGGCGGCTTCTGTGAAGAGAAAAGCCGAAGGAACAGTTCCTGCTGAAGAGAGTGATTTGCTCAGAATAACACCACTGTAAGTCAGCCACTTATAATATATAGACTACGTATTGTAATAAGGATGCCAAATAGAAAAAGAATACCTTGAAATGTTTTGAAACTAATGTTTTTCCACGTGCTTYAGTTGTCGAGGTTGTTTGATAACTCGATTTTCTTGGAGCTTTTTGAGTTGCATTTTAGGCCAAATTACTTGGTAAAGCTTTATTTTTCTTTTGTTTTACGGATTGGTTGATGTTTTATATTTATTCATTTTAAAGAGGAGCTGGTCAAGAGGTCGGAAGATCATGTCATTTTCTGGAATTCAAAGGCAAAAAAGTTCTTGTAAGTGTGATAACTAAAGCTTATCCATTCAGACCCATTTAAACTGACAGTAGTATAGCTGAACGTTGTTAGATCCTATATCCTTTAAATCTGCTAGTTTTAMTTTATATAATATTAATTGTAGCGTAAGGAGTAAATTTGTTAGAGTATATATGTAGTTCAAATCGTCATACAATGCAGCTTGCACCTATTCCATTTCCATAAATTACATGAACCACACTACCTATTGGGAAGCACAGATGATGTGTGCCTCTCACCAATGCACAGGTTCAAGTGTTGCCAGGCTTGGTATCATATGCATTTAAGGTTGTTTGTTGGTTCTCCTCTGCTTCCAGGTTTTTCTCCAAGGTCTAAGGTTTTCCTAGCTTGCAAATTCCGGATGTGACACAGGCTAAGGTTTTCCTCCCTCCAAGAAAATTTAATAAGCCTGAAGCAAGATGACGTTTTACCCCCGTCTCTAGACCATAATCCTTTTCACATTGCTTTTGTTCTTTAATTATGACTATCGTTCCTGTATTCTCTAAGGAATCAAAAATTTTAATATGAAAGAATTTTAAAAACTATTATGGTATAGAGTCGGCGGTAAAACGTCATCTCGCTTCAGGCTTATTCTAAATCCCAATGATCTTAGGAGATATTCTTAATAGKTTTAACCTCTTATATTTTCTTTTGCGCTATAATGCAAATAAATTGGTTATTTTTAATTTTGATTATAACAGACCTAATTTATGGTGTGAAAATGTTTTCCCAATTCAGTGTGACAAACATCCAGATGATTCATTTTCTTTTGTTTTTATTCTTCAAAAAATTCATGAGTATTTATTGGCTAACCCTAATGATTTATCCACTGGATAAGGATTTATCAATCGGATAGCACTATCCAAACTTCGTATTTTTGATTGACGGCAGTCAATGTGATGTAATTTTCTTAATAGCCATATTTATCTACATTTTTATGTGGTTTTAGCTGGATTGTGGTATCCACCCTGGGATGATGGGAGTTGAGTCACTRCCCTTCCTGGATGAGATTGATACAGCAGAAATAGATCTTCTTCTTATTAGTCAGTAAGTAGAGTAACGACAATGTGTAGTTCAGAAAATATCCATACCCTCTCCACAGAGTGAATTTGTAAAAGGACCCCATTACCCCTAGGAACTTCCAATTTTCTTCCTTACAAACCAGGGCCGTAGCCACCAGTCCGGACCAACTTTCGGGGAAAAAAATATAAGAAAAATAATAAAAAAATATAAGAAAAACTGAAAACCCTCGAAAACCGGACCAATCAGAAATTTGTGGCTACGGCCCTGCAAACTGTAATTTTGTTCTTTCTGTGACCCCCCTCCCCTCCATAATTTCCAATTTCCTCAGTGAGTGGGTTATTGATATTTTTTTCAAACCTACGCAATATATACATGTACATGCATGCTATTTGCAAAAACATAAAAGTCTGTGTCCTGTGTTCCTACAGACTCGCTTACTCAGGGTTAGCCTCATTTCACTGTCAAAATATTCACAAAAACCAACGGTAATTTAAAAAAAAAAGAAAAAAAAAAAAGAATGCACAATGCTAACAATAAAAAAAGTTTAAAATTTCACAGACCTTCACTGGAACACAATAATATTCTACACAACATTGAGGAAAACCCTCAACCATCAAAAAGGAATTCAATAATATTATTTGATGATTTATAAAAAGGGCATACAATTATTCTCCTTCACCTCATACTGCCTCACCAAGCACCACTTACTGTAGCTTCGAAGTGCTGCAGATTACAATACAAACCTTCTATTTCTTATTCAAACTTTATTCTTAATTTGTAGCTTCCATCTTGATCACTGTGGTGCACTGCCATGGCTTCTTGAAAAGGTACAAATGATATATGATATGACCATTACAGGATGAGACAGTTTTGCCACTTGTTTGCCACTGGTGATTGAGTGCTCTCCTTGTAAAACGACATGGACTAGGGCTTAAAATAATGCCAGTAAGGTGCCGGTCATGATGAAGGGCCAAATTAGTTTCAGCTTGGTCATACATGTTCATCATTTCTGGCACAACAAGACTGATCAAAATGATTGGAAAGATTTGACCAGACAAGTTTTTATTCTGGACAATCATTGTTTGATGTCTTGCCATTATTTTTATGACTTGAAGGACAATTATACNTAAATTAATGACATCTGGATTGTTTAGTGAGTTACAATAAGTGTGCAGTTACTAGTGCATGAAATTGTACGATTTGCGGCCGTGACAAAACAGGGTTTGGTGGACATCAGTCAAAGCATTTTCATAACATTGTTGAAAAACACATATACCTATGGAAGGTCATGAAAACACCCTGACTGACGTCCACCAAAACCTTCTTCATCATGAATACAAACTGTATGATTTTGTTCATGTAATTGGGAAGTGATGTAAATCAACTAAAAAATATAAAAATTGAATACTTTATCAAATTTCTTTCAGACAACATTCAAGGGACGAGTGTTCATGACACATGCCACAAAAGCTATTTACAGGTCAGCCTGTGTTCTTTATTGAATTTCCAGTCTGATACAGTTTACGTATTTAGTGTTTGAGTGTTGTTCTCTCCCTACAATCAAAGCTTTTACTTTTGGTTCAAAATAAGCCTGAAGCGAGATGGCGATTTACCCCCGTCTCTAGACCGTAATCCTTTTCACATTGCTTTTGTTCTTTAATTATGACTATTGTTCCTGTATTCTCTACGGAATCAAAAATTTTAATATGAAAGAATTTTAAAAACTATTATGGTATAGAGTCGGGGGTAAAACGTCATCTTGCTTCAGGCTCATTGGCTGACTGTTTGACAATCATTGGCCATATAAACACTATATCCACCTGAATTTACCTTGAAGTGGTAAAGTGTGTGTGAGTGAAAGTGTTATTGATATGATTACGTTACTTATTAAGTAAATATTTTTATTTTAGGTGGCTGCTATCAGATTATGTAAAAGTCAGGTAAGAAATCAATTCTTAGATTTATTTTATATTATTGTGTAGTTACAGAAATCATCCATACACACCCCACAGAGGAATTTGGAATTTCTGAAGAGTAGGGGGGTCAGAGAAAGAGCAAAAATTACAGAGTTTGTATGGAAGAAAATTGGAATTTCCGTGGGGTAGGGGAGTGTCTTAAAAAAATTCCTCCGTGAGGGGTCGTATGGATATTTTTTGGAACTACACATATTTAGATAAATAAATTAACTTTGTTATTGTATATACTGAGATAGGATAACACTTGACATTTGGTCAATATTCATAGATGTAATTATAAAGGCAGCAACTTCTCCTCAGCTACTGTAAAACCCTGAGTATTAGCCAACTGTCAAGACTTGAACCATGACCTTCCGCACAACAGGCTCTGAAAGTTTAGATATTATTGGTGGTTTGCATCCATTCCCATATACTTTTTTCATCAATTATTCATAATTTGATAAATAATATATACAGTATGAGTGGCCATGTTGTAACAGATATAGAAACTCCCGGCTACACCTTGAGTTCGTATATCTGATACAACATGGCCACTCATACTGTATATATTACTTATCAAATGTCTAGGTTAATTCCTTTGTGTTTCACTAAAATTTTCAAAATTAAAGTGCATCTGGCCAAGAAAATCCATCTTAAATTTTATGCAAATGAACACTCTTCACAGTCGTAATTTCTGTTGTGTTTTCCTCATGAATTATTAATGAGGTTGATAATTTGTTTAGTAATATTGCTGCTGAAGATATGCTGTATACTGAGTCTGATTTGGAAAAGAGCATGGAYAAGATAGAAACAATTCACTTTCACCAAGTAAGTTATTTAAGTAATATATACAGTATGAGCGGCCGTGTTGTATCAGATGTACAAACCCGAGACGTAGGCGTGAGTTTGTATATCTGATACAACACAGACACGAATACTGTAGATTACTTATCAAACGTCTAGGTTAGTTCCTTTGTGTTTCACTAAAATTTTCAAAATTAAAGTGAATCTGGCCAAGAAAATCCAACTTAAAGTTTATGCAAATGAACACAATTTTGTATCAGATTTACAACACTCTTCACGGTCGTGATTTCTGTTGTGTTTTCCTGATGAATTATTAATGAGTTTGATAAGTACATTATGATTTTATGTAACTTCACTTGCGCTTTTCAGTTGGTTAGCTCACTTTGTTTTCGGTTATGGTAACATCTCATTTGTAAATAGTTGTCGTTCATATTTGCTACCATTCCCTGATGATGGCTCGATCAGCCAAAAACTTTTAACGATATAATATAAAGATATATAATAATAGATATTTATAACGATTGTTTAAACCAAAAGGAAAAAGAAGTTGGTGGTATAAAGTTCTGGTGCTACCATGCTGGGCATGTTCTGGGAGCAGCTATGTTYATGATTGAAATAGCAGGAGTTAAGGTATGTATTGATTTAAACTGGGAATGAAAGATGGTGTATGGGTAGTGAACAAGTCTGCATCTCACCTCTGGGGTCTTGGGTTTGAATCTCGAACTCAGCATCACATGACTGTGAGCAGTGTTTGTTAGGTCTCTCTCTTGCATGTCACATCAAAGCAGCTCAATTTGGAGGGGGAAAAAAAAGGAATGTCTCCTGAGAATTTTAAGCCTATTGTTATGTCCTCCAGATTGAGCTGCATTCTGACATACTGCAAGGAGTCTATTCCATGTTGGTTGTTCTCCAGATTCTCTAGTCCCCCCCCTCCTCCCCCCCTCCCCCCTCCGCAAAACCTTGAAAAGCTTTATTTGAATTTGATGTTAGTAAGCTGTTCCCAGACTTTGACTAGCTCATTATGTTGTTTCAGGGTATTGATAAAATAAACCTCCTCGGCTCGGGTGTAGTGTTTTCCCATTTCAGACCATATGTCATTCCCTAGAGTAACATTTCTTGGTTTAATGGTAACATTGAGAAGACACATGAATATGGATACAACTCAAACAAAGAATCTTATTCTCAAGAGAATGACACTTGGTCTGAAATGAGAAAACATTACGCCCAAGGTAAAGAGCAAGGAGGTACATTGCAGTAGTGATCAGGGATTAACAAAGGTTTTTTGCTTGTCTTTTTAGATTTTGTACACAGGTGATTTCTCAAGACAAGAAGACAGACATCTTATGGCYGCTGAAATACCAACTATATCTCCAGATATCCTTATTGTTGTAAGTATAAATTGATTAAAATCATTCTTGGAAATTCAACTTTTTGTACATTGTATTCTCTAATGAGTGTTCTTTACAGTTTGTACACATACAAATTTACTAAACCCTGCAGTTGTCAAACCTGCCACTGTTTTTTTGATGAGTTAAGTTGTCTTTTGCAGGAGCAGGGGTAGCTCAATTGGTTAGTGCGCGACCTTCAGAGCTTGAGATCCATGGTTCGATCCTTAGGATCTCCACGTCTGTTTCGACTTCTCTCTAATCTGTGTAGCTTCAGCTTTAAATACTTTTAAAACAGAGCACTGATAGGGAGAGGGGGTAAAGTGCACACAGTCGGCTTCCATTGATAGCAGTTGAATTTCAACTGAAGGAGCTACTGAAGTTAAATATAGGTACTTTACCTTTGCAGGAAGCAACATATGGAACACATATTCATGAAAAGCGTGAAGAAAGAGAAACTCGCTTTACAGGTACATTTAGTTATTTTTAATGTTTAGACATATTTTCATGTGCCTTAAGTTAAAGTCGGTAATGTCATGGTAAATGTAATGTATATCTTTAGGTACTGTACATGATATTGTCAATCGCGGTGGTCGGTGCTTGATTCCTGTCTTTGCCCTTGGCCGTGCTCAGGAACTTCTCCTTATTCTTGGTAAGTAAGGTTTGATGAGATTCATGAGTAAGGGGTAATCCACAACCGGCAAAACGAAGCCTGGGAGTGGATGAACAAACAATGAATGGTGAAATAAAACAAAGAACGCAGCTCACATGTAGAACAATACACATTGTTMACCATAATCCATGCTTTCTTTGTTTTTGTTATTTTGTCCAATCCCAAGCTTCRTTCTACCAGTGGACACCGACCCTTAGTAAGGAGATATCCTTCTTTGGTCAGAAATATCATTCAACMTTTTTGAATTTTTTTAAGGTTCAGCATATTCTTTTTGTTTAAAATGTTCTCAGATACTTGAAAAGTGCACTATTAAAGCAATAAATGCAACCTAGAACAGGTTTTTTGATAGTGTACATGTAGAACTGTTGCATTGTTTTCAGAAACTTATATCAACTTAAAATTATATTTTACAACCACACACCACTACTCATAAACTCCATGAGGTTAATTCCACACACACTACCACTACAGTTCCCTCTCAAGCTTGTTGTTGTCATCTTTGTATCATCAGATGAATACTGGCAGAACCATCCAGAGCTGCAYGACATCCCAATATATTATGCTTCACAGCTCGCCAAGAAGTGCATGTCAGGTACTGGTTTACATTGAGCATAAGATTCATGTCGGGAATGGGTAGTACATGTGTAAATAGCAAGAAAATGTTCTGAGGACTTTAAACAACAAGCTTTCTGAAGAGAGGGTTAGGGTTATTAATAATTACTGGGTGCGGCTCTAAATTTTGATCTGTTTATTTTCAGTCTTCCAGACTTATGTTAATGCAATGAATGACAAAATCAAGAAACAGGTATGCGTTTTCAAACAAATATACATTGGTGTTGACTTATGCGTATCTTCAAGAAAACAATGATCAAGAATCATTAATTTTCAATATTGTAACAAATGCRTCTTTGTTCCTATTTCAGATAGCCATTTCCAACCCATTTGTGTTCAAGCACATTTCAAATTTAAAGGTAAGAATATGTTTGTGCAACTGCTACAAAAACAGTGTCAGTATGAGTATTGAATAATGTAAAATATGCAATGTGGATAATATTTAACAATTATTTGCCAAAGGTGGAGTGCTGAATTTTATAAATGTTTTAGTAATATGAGACTTGAATATCAGAGAAAAGACGAAATTTAGGATAAGAAACGTTTTAGTATTACTTCMGCTYCAGCAGTGTTTGTCGTCCCATAATCACTGGTTGCTCGACCAATCAATGTGCACAAAACTGTATATTCAATTCYAAAATTATGCTAACTATTAATTAATCATTACTATTTATTATTAGTGATTAATGATTAATTAGATTAATTAACAACTCTTTTTGCACAGAGCATTGATCAATTTGATGACATCGGGCCATCAGTTGTCATGGCAAGCCCAGGAATGATGCAGGTAAATAATATGCTTTTAGATATATCTCAATCATTTACAGTAAGCTCCCCAATGGCTTAGTTGGGTCAACTATCCGTTTGGTTCCTGAGCTGGAGAACCTGGAGAAAAGCCGCAAGAAAATTCCTTGAATCAAGGGTTAGATTCCACAAAAATACCCTTGAATCAAGGGAGAGACCTAACAAACTTTCCTCACATGTGATGCCGAGTCCAGAAATCGAACCCGAGACTCAATTGGAGCTCATTTGACCATCCTTGATCCATTTTTTCGATTTTTTTATTTTATTTTATAGATTTAACCAAGGTGTTCCAAATATGAATGCAATGGCTCTTAGGTAATTTCTTTATTGATTTATTTCATGGAGTGTTTTTGTTTTTGTAGAGTGGCCTATCACGTGAGCTATTTGAACAATGGTGCACGGATCGACGTAACGGTGTCATTATTGCTGGTTACTGTGTGGAGGGAACACTAGCAAAGGTTCGTCGCTCTTGTATATGGAAATGTTAAGTTATGATATATTTCTAGGTCCAACAAAAAAACAAAAAAAATCCTTGATGATT